GAACAAATCATCTGGGAGCGGTAAAGGATACTGATGAGCGTTCAAGTCAGCAGTTAGACCAGTCGAGAAACCGCCGCAGGTTTGAATCTGACGGTTTGACTTTTTGACCACCATACTAGGTGCAGCCCGAGACGAGTAGTTCACCGGATGGATAACCCCTGCTCTCTCTAAGTGATCCAGCTACTGGTCAACTATTGGTGTTACTGCGAAAGGTACAGGGCGTTTCGTATGAAATTCTGGAACCACATCGGGTTTAAAGGACAGTGAAGCTTGTAGTTTGGTGCACTTACCGAGGCATTCTCGGAAGACTGCTGCAATTACTCTTGTAGGCGTTCGATGGCTATTGTTAGGAGCTGGTGTCTCGTGGATACTTGCACAATCTGGTTGATGGGAACATCAAGTAGGTTGAAACGCTCGATCGAGTCCAGACCCAGAAGATTCAAATTCTAGTGGCTTGTGAAGAAAATCGTTCCCCATGCGGTAAAGTTAGTATAACGACACACAGTTGACTTGACCAATTCATTTCAACTCGGCACCTGATGCACTTTTTGCCTGCTGTCTGGTAAGTTTGATATCTGGGGACCCGACAATTCTCCACAGTCTTTCTGATGAGACTGGAGTGTCTAAGGCCGTGTCAAGCTGAAAACGCACCTGTTTTCCATGGATGTTGATGCAGATGTACTTTCTACGATCATTAACATCGACAGTAAAAGTATTGTTCACTCACTTCGCGAAACGACCGTATTTTTTCGGGCATCATGTACCGCTCCGAAAAATAGTTTGGAAGTGCAATGAGTTTCTCTGTGTCCACGTCTATGACCTTTCGGTGGCATATATGCTTGTTAAATGAACATCAACTAACAAAATGACAGTCTCCGCATTGCCTACATACTGATGATTGCTTACTTTGAGGGAGCATCCTGCAATCAGTGGATGGAAACTTGTTCTTCAAAATCTGCTGAACTGCGAAAGCATTAGAATGCGTCTTCGTACCCATGATCATGGTAATGAGACTAGACCTTAGCGTGGTGCGATGGTTTACGTACTCCCGTGACCCAATGAGCCAGGCTAGGTGGCACTTTCCAAGTGTCTTCAGAGCCACTCATACCAGACAGATCAATGGTTAGGGGTCAGACTAAGTCAGGCTCACAATCTGATCCTCTTTGGAGGTTAGGAAAAGGTCCACTTCATTTAAAACCTAGCTATGATAGACAATAGGCCTACGGGTTATAAGCTAGCAGCTCGATTGGTGTAGAGCGCGAGCGCCACGCATTTTCTCTGAGGGTGGTAGTGCACCTCCAGATGCTCAATGGTTTACTACCGCCCGCCTCAAGCCACAGCCTTTGGTTAAATTGGTGCAAACCTGCCAACTTCCGCCTTCGAACGGCCGTGGTGGCAAGCGCGTAACCTAATACGGCCGTTAAAGACTTGTGAACTGTTCCAAATCTTCAAAGGCTGTGTGACAGTCCTCGAGCGAATCCCAATCGGTCTCTGCAATCACCCACTTGAACCGGACTTGCGCACAATTGCCTTATGGATCAGGCAAATGAGACAAAGGCTAGAAGCAGGGTACCCCGAAGAAAACCTCTCTCTCGAAATGGGCAGCCGGAGTGTAACATCTGCTCTATCGACCACATCGACAATATTACCCTTTCTTGGTTTTCTCCCTGCTGTCCCCTCTACTTTTGCGCATCTATTGAGCAAGAGCTTTCCAATGACCACGTAGCTGTCGCCATCGATACATGCAGCTCTATTATCAAACCTAGAGTTTTATTTTACATTGGTTCCTTTAACGTCCGTACTCTAGGTCAGATCGGCCAGCAGGCAGCACTAGCGCCCACTCTTCACTCTCTTGGTATTGATGTGTGCTGTCTCTGAAACACGCATACAAGAAAACAGCGTTGCGACGAATCTTCGACTCCCTCGTTCTGAATTCGATGACTCTTCATATATCTGGCGATACCGAACCAATGGCGCAAGGTATATACAATGTTAGTATTGCCCACAGCAAACATGCTGGAAGCACTCTGTTCGACTGGACACCGGTGAATAGTCGCATGTGCGTGGTTCGACATAGAAGTACTATCGGAGTTAATAAGCAGCATCTGAAACCAAAGTGCCTTTTCATCACCTCAGTTTATGCAACTAATGAATACAATTCGGAGGGTATCTATCGACAGCTCTCATCTCTGTCTCGCATGGCGAATAATACTGACAACGTGATTATTGTTGGTGACATGAATGTCAAAGTGAAGCGTTTCTCAGACTTCGAACAACACTTGGGCGGCCGAATAGGAGTCGATGCACGCCGAATAGAGAATGATGATCGAATCTTGCAACCGTGCATTCCAGCACAAACGTTCACACTGCGGCAGCATTATCATCAACAATACACGTTAGCTGAGGGAGAGAAACATCTCAGCTAATGTTCCGCAATAGAAAAAGACAACATATAAAAGTTACATTGTAAAAATAATTCAAAAGCAGGTACTATAATCTTAGATATCACATTATGCAAATACGTATGAGAACGGAATTGGAGGGGAAAGCTAAAAGGGAGGGGATGTACAAGGAAACTCATAACACAAACGCCACTGGGGTCGGCTCTCCGCCATACCAGCAAGTGTGTTCAACCAAAGATGTCCATCATCCCTAAGACCTCAGCCAGGCAGTCGGGATGCACAAACTGATACCAAATTCGAAGTAACAGTTCATTTCTTTTGATCCTTCCACCTCTTCCAAACGCAACCCCACGCACAAATAATGTACGTTGCGGGAGACGGTGTGCCGGCATGCGCAACATGTTGCCCATCCATCGGAGCCAGGTGCGTGATATAATGATGCTCAGCGGTTCAATCGCTCTTAATGCAACAAATACGCTCATTGCTAACGCAGTGCTCCCACCAGATATGAGCTAAACTGCGAAGGCAGCGATGATCGAACGTTTTAGCCTCTTTATGTCTGTTGACCAGAAAGGCCAGGTTTCACAACCGTATAAGAGGTTTGAACAGACAGCTGCATTATAAATGCGCTTCAGGGCAAGAGTGATGTCGCCTCTGACAAAAGCACCCCGATCTTTCGCTAAACGATCTGTGACCTCACCTACAATCCTACGGGCGCTAATATAGCTGCCCAGTAAGCGTCACGAAGACGCTTGGGCCAGTACTGATTTAGTCACGGGTTTCACGGGTTTGCGCAGAACGAGTAAGCGTAGCTTTTCGGTGGTTCTGCCTCGGGATCTTACGGCAAGGTCCTGATCTCGTCGGTAGGTACCAGATGTTGTGGGTCTCGACGCAGTAGTGGTGTTCAGCACAAGAATTCAGCGAGTTGACTGTGGGAACGTGGATACCTGGAACAAGAGAGTGGTGTAGGTAAATTCGGCAAAGTTGGATAGAAGCAAAATGATAGAAGCGCCGCGTGTTAGCTTGGCAAATGGCCAGATCTTAGCGACGTGGAAGACCAGCGAGGTAAGAGCCAAGCGTCTAGGCGCTGTTTGAAGGCCTCCGTATTGGGCGCTGAGACAACAACTTCAGGGAGGGCGTTCCAAGCGAAGGCAATACGCACACTGAAACTGTTTCTTCGGCAAAGAAGGCGACTGCTACGAGTCATCAGTTTGAGTGAGTGCCCTCGAAGATGATCTGTACGGGCGCGGAGCAACAATCATGCGTTTGGGTGCCTGTTATTAGTCAGGACGGAATAAGCTAAGATAAGGTCGCCACGAAGCCTGCGATATTTCAACGGGAAGAGGTTAAGGGCCGCCAGACGCTCCTCATACGAGAAGTGGGATAGTCCGTCCACTCTCTTAGTGGCTCTACGCTGTACAGTTTCCAGCATGGTCTCGTCCTTCTTCAGGTACGGCGGCTGGACAAGTATGTTGTACTCTAGCAGCGGACGTACTAAAGTGCTATAGAGACGGACAAATGTCTCTCTAGGGAAAGACCCTAGTGCACGTCCAAGGAGGGCCAGGCGAACGCTAGACTTTCGCGCCAGTGTAGCTACGTTGGCGCTCGGGCTCAGGTCGGCGGATATTATGGTCCCCAGGTCACGTTCCTGGGATGTGGCTTTAAGATGCACACCGCCGATATTGTACGGATTAGCCACACCTTGCCCAATGTGCATGACTTTGCACTTGTCGATGTTAAACGGGAGCGAATTTCTCGAGGCCCAAGAATAAGCAGCATCGATATCTGTCTGGAGAAGTGGTATCTTAGATCAGAAGAAATTTGAGAATAGTCAAATTTCTTTTCAAGTGTTTATTCAAACACTGCCTTCCACGTTATTTCAAATAAAAAACTCGATCAGTATTGTAATATTCCTCCGGTCCGGCGTCCTGAGCTCTTCCGAGTCCAAGTAGTGTGACAAGCTGCAATGCAAAATAAATACCTCGTAGACGGCTGTACGCTCGAGCCGCCTAGTAAGAGGCCGATGTAAAGGAAGCAGCTAAGGAAGCATGAAAGAGGGAAGGAAGAGTGCCGGAGAGGAATATGAGAGTAATGATAACAGGAAGCAAAACCGACCGACCTCTTACCTGTTAACGTGTTACCGTGATGCCCGCAGACCGGCTACATTATCCCCCCTCTTATCAGGCGCTGTCTTCAGCGCCCCTAATGGCCCATACCGGCATCAATTTATGTGCCTGCCAGAGGCATTGAGCACGGTATATGAGGCTCGGGAGATACAACGACAAGCAGCACGAGGGTAAAAAATTAACTGTTGCCTCCAGGGCCACAATCTAGCTCGGTGGACTGCTGTCGTGAACTGGCAGGGTCGCCAAATATGTAATATTCCTCCGGTCCGGCGTCCTGAGCTCTTCCGAGTCCAAGTAGTGTGACAAGCTGCAATGCAAAATAAATACCTCGTAGACGGCTGTACGCTCGAGCCGCCTAGTAAGAGGCCGATGTAAAGGAAGCAGCTAAGGAAGCATGAAAGAGGGAAGGAAGAGTGCCGGAGAGGAATATAAGAGTAATGATAACAGGAAGCAAAACCGACCGACCTCTTACCTGTTAACGTGTTACCGTGATGCCCGCAGACCGGCTACATTATCCCCCCTCTTATCAGGCGCTGTCTTCAGCGCCCCTAATGGCCCATACCGGCATCAATTTATGTGCCTGCCAGAGGCATTGAGCACGGTATATGAGGCTCGGGAGATACAACGACAAGCAGCACGAGGGTAAAAAATTAACTGTTGCCTCCAGGGCCACAATCTAGCTCGGTGGACTGCTGTCGTGAACTGGCAGGGTCGCCAAATATGTAATATTCCTCCGGTCCGGCGTCCTGAGCTCTTCCGAGTCCAAGTAGTGTGACAAGCTGCAATTTTTTCAGTTCAGTTCAGTTCAGTTCAGATGGGGACTGGAACGATAGGAAAATCCCGTGAGTGTTCCATCTTGAGTGGATCGTTGAGCCAGGAATTGATGAAGTGCTCAGTTATTGATGGATCTAAAACGGAAACACCCGTATCGCACCCTGGCCAACCAGTTAATGCCCACGTTTCCTGCCCTAGCAGTCCCTGCTGTGGCAGTCACGTGAAGTAAGCAAAGGATAGGAAGAGAAATCGAAGGTACAGAATAGGGAAGTGCACTTAACA